GTTCCTTACTATGATCATAGCATAATGGGCCCCAATACCCTTTTCTAATTAATGGTCCCCTGATTTTCGGAAACTCCCAAATTCTGCCAGGCAGAGCAGTCCCTGTCTTCGTTGAACTTCGCTCGCCAAGAGGCCCGGCTTCCCCATGTTCTTTTGGATTTACTCGGTGGCAATTTGGGAAACTTTTTAATTTCCCTTACGGTTCCTATAGAGGTACCTATTCATAAATACTTTTCAGAGCCCCAAAACTACAACCCAGTTTAGGGTTTAGGGACTGCCTGGGGCGCTTTGGGGTCTTAGATATAAGAACCAGTGGAAGAACTTTAAGTTTGTTGACCTTGTTTGGTCTATCTTAGAAGGTTTGAACTTTTTTGGGGGCCTGTCATTGAAGAAGAGTGGAATTTGATATGTAGCGTAGAGCATACAATGTACATGGCATAGCAGAATGTATTCTAGCATAACGGCTCGGCGCAGTAGAGGCACAAACTCAATCCTCTTGCTGTGAGGTCTTGTACTTAGTGTGTGGTCCGGAGCTCTCAACCACTTTCTTTTCTCGACAGATGGAGACAATCCCTCTTATGGTCCCTAGATCCTAATATTCTGATCTGTACCAGCAAAACCTAACTATAATGGAATCTACCTTTCGCCAGTCCTCTAGCGAACTTTTGAAGAACCCAAAGGGATTATCAAGAGCAAGATGTCCATTCTGGTTGGAAAGGGCGCTTATGCTTACTGCACTTGCTCAGGCCTCAAGTCCACATCATGTGGCACCTGCCCGCCAGATGCCGTAGTTCAAACGATCCTTTGCTGCTTGGCCTGCCATGCTGCGCATCACGAAACTCTCCGGGGAAGACTTGGCAAGCCTTCCCGTCGCGGAGCTTAGCGATGTGAAGGCACTGAAGCAGCGATTGCACAAGCAGCACGCCCTGCCGCCACGCTTCAGGCAAAGGCTCCTTCACTCAGGAAACGCTTTGGATGATGCCGTCAAGCTGGATTCCGTCATGGATCTGCAGTCAGCGGCTGGGTCCGATAACGAACAGAGACATCTCGCTGCAGCGACCGAGAACGGCTCCGTTGACGAGGATGCCCCGAAGCGGCGATTGAATCTGGAAGACGGCCTTCCGCCACCACATTGCAAGCGATGCATGCAACAGCAGCGTTCGGCCACGCCGGACTCCGTGATGGATCTGCAGGTTTTGATCTTGGGATTGTCTGAGGCTTCCTCGGAGCAGCAGCGCGAGCTTTGGGAAGCCGCCAGCGAAGGCCTCGAAGCCGAGGCAAGGGCAGGGTACTGACAATGAACTGAGCAGATCTGTGAAGTGATACATCTTTAGTTTGCTAGAGTGTGTCGTATATTATTGTAGCAAATTGTATGTGTATATATATATACACATATATACATATACATATAAAAACTTTCTATTTGGAATGATATCTCCAAAAGGGAATCCTGCGAAAACCAGCCTTCAATTTAGTGCGTGTTGTTTGCCCCGCTTCTCGGTAATCCAACATCTTCTCCTTTGCAACGGAACAGCACAATACTTATTACTTATACCTTAACCCCCCATTAAGGTACTTGTAACCTTACTTACAAAGTCCCATGATCCTCCAAGTACCCTAAACCCTAAACTTCCCCAAAATCCTTGAACCCTAAACCCTAAAGCTTTCGCAGCCAGTCAGGTTGAAGCTTTGCTGCAACTCCCGATTGACCCGGATGTTGTCATTGCTGAACTTAATTCCACCACACCACTCATGCGAGCCTGGGTTCTTGTTAAGCGGTTTAGTTTCAGATACCAGAATAAAAACTGTTTCCTTGTTGTGGTACCTTAAATTTAAATCCCTTAACCCCTAAACCCTTACAGAGCCCTTGAAGGAACCCTTGTAGATCCCTGAAAGGAACCTTGATTAAGATACCTTAAAATAAATCCTTTACAAGGAGCCTCTGCGAACGGCCACGCGCATGTAGCAGAGTTGCTCTTGGAAGCCGGCGCTCGGAAGGAATTGCGCGATCGAGTTGGCAGTACTGCACTGATGTTTGCGGCGTTAAGGTGTCATGAACCAGTTGTCCAGCTGCTACTGGAAGCAGATGCTCAAAGGGATGCTCGTGATGAAGAGCACAGCACGGCGCTCATGTATGCAGCATTCAACGGTCGTGTTCCAGCCGTGCGGTTGCTCCTTGAGGCGGGCGCTCAGAAGGATCTGCGTGACAAAGATGGCCGCACGGCGCTGATGGATGCAGCAAAGGGAGGTCATGTTCCAGTCGTGGAGTTGCTCCTGGAGGCCCGTGCTGACCAGGATGTGCGTGACAATGACGGCATGACCGCGCAGATGCTGGCGGTGGACGACGGTCATCGTCAAGTGGCACAGTTGCTGGGCTTCACATACAAAAGGAAGTCATCTTCAAGTCCGACAGTTGCTCCTCCTGCGTGATAATGATGGCCGCACAGCGCTGATGGATGCTGTAGGTGACGGGCATGCTGCAGTGGTGAAGTTGCTTTGGGGGTCAGGTGCTCTGAAGGATTTGTGTGACAGCGAGGGTCGTACAGCGCTGATGCATGCAGCATATTGCGGTCATGCTACAATCGTCCGTTTGCTCCTGGAGGCCGGTGCTCAGAAGGATGTGCGCGGTAACGGGGGCAGCACAGCAATGATGCATGCAGAGCTTCGCGGTCATGCTGATGTCGTCTGATGGCTCCCCCCCCAGAAGGACGAGAAATCATGCCAGGCACTGGGCTTCTTCTTAGACGAGGTACTTAGAAATAGTTTTAATTTTGGTTATTATAAATCCTAAGAAACAGCTAAAATTACAATTTGTGCTAGGGTTCTAAGTTCAGTATAGTCTTGAGTTAATTAACACTGTAAAGCGGTAATGAGGACGTGTCCTTGAACAGAGATCGCTAAGGCAAAGACGGAAACCGCTGAATATTTAAATCCCTGGCTCGCTAAAGGCTAGATTAAAAGGGCCAAACTAAAAAATACAGGAGTCCAGACAATTATCAATGCTATTTTGCGGGGGGTACCTTAGTACAATTCTAGTATAGTATACCCCAAAGCCCGAATCTGGTTCTAATTATCAAGGCCCCTATATTAGACCAGAAGTCCGACTGTCCCAACTTGATCCAAGTCGGGTTCTGGGACGAGGCATCGTCCTGAACTTACAAAACCCTTAGCCCTAAAGCCGAGTCCCTGAACGCCCGAAAGCCTCTCAACCTTCAGCCGTAAAGACTAATCCCTGAAATCCTGAAACCCGCCAACCAAGCCCTAAACCGTCTAAACGTTCAAAGCTCACTAAACCCTGTGAATCCTGTAAGCCTTAAAGCCTACAAACCCCTATAAAGCTAAACTCTGGAAGTTGCTCAAGGTTACAGGCCGCTTAGCTGGGGCTACAATTAATGATAGGAATGATATGCAGCCTAAACTAAATACCAAGACTGGTTTGGGGGTTCCATACCACAAGCTAAGTGTAGTATAATGGGCCTAAAAACCCTTGTCCAATTTTAAGGGCCCCCTTATGCTAGTTGCCTTGCGTATTTCCTTTGTTACCAAGTCCCTAAAGTATGTTGAGGGGCCTGAGGGACTTGCTGATGGTTTCGGGTTTAGGGTTTACTTGGAGGTCCAGCGGTAGTTGTAAGTGGCGTTACAAGTAAGGTAACTGTAATTAAAACTCACATTGGGGGACTTACAACTCTACTTATAGCTACCCATGAATCTCCAAGTAGGGTTTAATGCAGGAACCTGATCAAGAAACCTTATCTTACTATTTGGGGGTTGTAGGCCCAGGGTTGCTTAATCAGCTTCCTACATTCGTCGTCCGGGTTAGGGTTTTCGGGTTTCGGAGTTAGGGGAGTAGGGTTTAGGTTTGCAGCTGCCCCCACCCTGTAATAGTGGTATAATAGTCGTATAATAGGAGTATAATAATAGGGCCCTGATATAATCCTTATAGTCACTATTACAGGGTGGGGGCAGCTTCTAAGGGTTAGGGCTTAGGAGCTAGCAGTCGGAAAGTAATGAGTAAGACCAGTCTTTGGGGGTTCTTTTCATAAGTACAGTAAGACTTCAAGCAGACCAACCCCACATCGAGCAATTTGTCCATTCGGGGCGTTTGGTTGCACGTCCTTCGGCGTTGTTCGTATACACTGTTTGGGCAGGCGTGGTGCCTACGGGATGCTCACAAATATAGGGTTTGGGGTTTAGGGTTGGTTTACGGGTTTAGGGTTTAGGGTTCATGATGAGTACACTGCCTAGGCTTTCAATGTACTTGTAGCCGTGGTTGGATGTAGGGCTGGGGATTTACGGTTGGATGCAGAGCATATGGATTGTAACCTATTCAGCTAACACGAGGAAGTTGATTATTATTTCCGTTTAAGCTCTCGTATTGCCGCGATGAGCGCAGGAGCTTAGAGGGTGAGTGCTTGAGAACATATACCTACTCAAAGAGGGACTATGTAACGCAATATCATGACTAAATATTCAGGCTTTTCTGTCCGATCCCCCTAAACCCTAAGCCCTAAACCCTAAACCCTTCTATATACGGAACAGGGCACATTGTGCAGGGCTCGGACTGAGAACGACGATTCTCGTGAATTTGTCTTGCCTTATGCAGCTTTAACTGCTTTCCCTAAGACTCCGTGTACCCATAGTAGGTACTTAGGCCTTAAAGGGATCCCTATATAGGTATTTTGCGGCCGAAGTACCTGCCATATGGGTACATGGAGCCTTTGGGTTTGTGCATGATGTTTCGACCTTCCGCCTCAGAATGCCCCGCTCGACTGGCATGCCCCCGCTCATTTGTAGATCGAGGCACGAAGCTTGCAGACCTAAGCAACGTACTAGTATGGGGCCTTACTAACTAGAATAGGGTTTTGGGGGTTCCTTATTATAATTTAAATGTAGTACAATATACCCCCCAAACCCTATTCTAATTATTCACGCCCTTTTATTACACAGCCTAACATGCCCAGACAACGTCTGCGCCTGATGTGTCTGCGCCTCGGCCAGCAATGCTGTGCATCACACTCCTCTCCGGGGAAGAGTTGGCAAGCCTTCCCTTCGAGGAGCTTAGCGATGTGAAGGCACTGAAGCAGCGATTGCACGAGCAGCACGGCCTGCCGCCACGCTTCAGGCAAAGGCTCCTTCACGAGGGAAACACTTTGGAGGATGCCGTCATATTGGCTTCTGTCATGGAGTCGCAAGCAGGTCACGAGGATACGACTTTGAGTGACTCTGTGAAGCCGGACGCCGTGATGAATCTGCAGCTGCTGGTCTTGGAGTTCTCTGATGCTTCTGACGTCCAACGGGCAGAGCTTGGTGAAGCGGCCGGTGGCGCTATGGTGGACGAGGCAGGGCAATTCGGTATTGACCAGTAGCCGAGAACTACGATTTCTTGAACACCTTACCACATGCAACTCCAGGCATGTTCATTCACCCAGCAGACTCGAAAACAAGAGTATTTGGGGATACTCAGCAGGAAGGGCGTCTCAAGTTTTTTGGAACTGTCAGTCAGTCAGGTTGAAGCTTTACTGCAGCTGCCCATGGACCCGGATGCTGTGACTGGTGAGCCTAATCACACACCTCTGATGCTAGCATCTGGGAATGGCCACCTGGATATCGTCCGGCTTCTACTGGAGGCCGGTGCCCAGAAGGATGCGCTTGCTATTGACGGCAGCACAGCACTGATGTGGGCGGCGCTTGAAGGCTTAGTAGCAGAGTAGGTAACCTTTTATGCTTTTGGGGCTTCTATTATTTTCAATCATAGTCGAAAACGATTCACCTTTTTATTGCGCCCTAAACCCTAAACCCTAAACCCTAAAGTCCTAAAAGCCACAGATTTCCCGAAGAAGGCCGCGAGTCCGTCGTCCGAGTGCTCCTGGAGGCCGGCGCTCAGAAGGATCTGCGTGACCAAGGCGGTTGGACAGCGCCTTGGAGGGCCGATGGAAGATCTTGAAAGTTTGGGCAATATAGGTATATATATATATATATATATATGTATACATATGTATTTCTATATATATATATATGTATATACATATGTATATTCACATACACATATGTATTTGTATATATATATATATACATATATATATATATGTATGTGTGTATTCTAGGTGGTTTGTCCTAGAAGGTTTGAACTTGTTTGGGCCCGGTTATTGTTGAAGAAGAGAGGCACTCATGTGTTCTGCGAGCGAACGACACCCGCGAGTCGTGCGGTTGCTCCTCGAGGCCGGTGCTGACAGGGATCTGTGTGATAGATACGGGCAGACGGCGCTGATGCTGGCAGAGGAAGCAGAGGAAGCAGACGATGAAATCCTCCGACTTTTGGAACCCCTGGCAGAGGATGACGACGGAGAGCTTTCGGAAGGATGTTGCCAAGATCCATGAGCCCGAGCCAGAAAAGCCATCAGCTGAAGCTGCGAAACTTGGTAGTGCAATAGGAAACCTGTAATTAGCCCTTTTGGGATTTTTGGGGTACTACAACATTTACATAACCCCAAAGTTTAACCTTTAGCTTCCGTAGGATACGGACAGGTAAGGTGTAAGGACAAGGCCTCCTCATGCGAAGATCAAGCCTAAACCCCCGGATACTTCACGCCCAAACCCCGAGGTTCTAAGGCCTGCACCCTAAACCCCGACAGCCCCCAAAAAAGCTAAACCCCAAACACCTGAACCGTGGCCACGCCATCGTAATCGTAACCTTGACAGCTACCAGACCCGAAATGCAAATGCCCAAACTCCCGCAAGTGTCGACTCCCACTACAAATCTACAGGGTCCGGGGTTCTAGGGTTTAACGCCGTTTAGGGTTTAGGGCCAAGATAAGTAAGGGTGTACCATCCCGGGTCTCGGTTTAGCTGATTCGCTATCACAAGCAAACCCAGTGCTCCAACACGTCAGGCCGCAAGCCTAAACCTCAAGCCCGCAACCATGACAATGCCAATGTAAAGCCATGGAAATGAGATCCTAACATAACGGTTTAGGGTTTAGGGTTTAGGGTGTGCACATTATTTCGCACTATTTATTCTATTGGTTCTTTAGTTTACCCACTGATGATGACATACACTCTGGAAATCAGACAGTCTCATCCGCTCACAACACTCTCCGAGCATTCCCGGCCCAGGATCCACCGAGTCTGCGAGATCCACTATATAAGCCTGAATCCCTGAATGCTAGACCTTGAGCCCGAAACCTTAACCCCAGCCTATACTATTGAAGACTGAAGAAATGCACAATCCTTCACTATAACATGCCCCCAAACCTTATTCTACTGTTTGATCCCCCCACCCCTATTACAGCCAGTACGTTCAGGAGCCCAAACAATCGAGTCTCACTAGTACCCCTAAAACCCTAAACCCCTAGTACGCCTGAGGTTTCACTAGCAATTGAATCGCGCTCCTTTAGAGTTTTGCTTCTAGGCTTCGATAACGGAATAGGGTTCAGGCAGAATTACTACAGTACACCGTTCTGGGGCTACAACCATATAGGACTGATTGGTAGTTGTTCCGACCTTCTGGGTTGTCTTGCACTGCAACTAAACCCTCATCAAATTACCGAAGACTCCAATGTGAATTTGCCAAAAACGGGGCGAAAATAGGGGACTTAGTCTGTCGATGTTGGAATTTAGGCTCATTTTTCCTTCAGTCATATGCACCCTAGACACTAAACCACTCAACGGCGCATCCCTAAAGCGCAAAGCCCTAAATCCTGAGCCGAAAAGCCCCAACTCTGAGCGGTAAAGTTGCAGCGGCAGCTGGATGTCGGGCTCGAGATCTGTGGATTGTTGCTCGGGGCATATCATATCTCGTTCCCTTTATTCGTGTGACAAGGCCCGCCCGCCAGGACCAGGATTTGGGTCTTGGTGCGGGTATTTTGTAGGAAAAGATTTTGGGACTCAGGGTTGAGTGATTTGTTTCAATGCTGCGCATCACACTGCTCTCCGGGAAAGATGTGGCAAGCCTTCCCCTCGAGGAACTTAGCGATGTGAAGGCACTGAAGCAGCGATTGTACGAGCAACACGGCCTGCCGCCGCGCTTTAGGCAGAGGTTTCTTCACGAGGAAAACACTTTGGAGGATGCCGTCACATTGGCTTCTGTGATGGAATCACAGGCAGGTCACGGGGACGCGACTTTGAGTGAAGCTGTCAATCCGGACGCCGTGATGGATCTGCGAGTGTTGATCTTGGAGTTCTCCGACGTCTCTCACGGCCAGCGGATACAGCTTACTGACGCGGCCAGGGCTGGCATTGTGGATGAGGCAGGGCAATGCCGCACAGACAACGGGTCGTCCTTTCATATCGCACAGGAACATCAACAGAAACCCCAACTGCCCCTGGATGCTGGACAGGAGTTGGCCCTAATTCCCTGAAGCTGTCAGGTCGAATCTCTGCTGCAGCTGCCCATGGACCCGGATGCTGTGCTCAATGAGGATCTCCATACGCCTTTGATGCATGCATCTGGGAATGGCCACGTTGATGTCGTCCGACTTCTACTGGAGGCCGGTGCCCAGAAGGACGCGCTCGACTGCGACGGCACCACTGCGCTGATATGGGCAGCACATGACGGTCGTGATGCAGTAGTGCAGGTTCTTCTTGAGTCCGGTGTTCAGACGGATATTAGTGACTGTATCGGCTGGACAGCGCTGATGTGTGCGGCAACAAACAGTTTTCCTGAAATCGTCAGGTTGCTCCTGGCGGCCGGTGCTCGCAGGGATCTCTGTAGCGAGACCGGCCAGACAGCGCTGATGCTGGCAGCGGACGAAGACGCGGATGCCGAAGTCCTCCGACTGCTGCAAACGGTCGCAGAGGATCCGTGAACACCAGAAGCCAGCAAAATAGTGCCAAACACGGGCTAGGTTGTTCAGTGGTGATTGTCCTTCGTTGCTTTCTTGTTTCTATGCCTTAGTACAAGACAACTAACCCACAAAAGTAGGTACTTTTCCTCAGTGGGTTGCTGAACAGCCTAGCTGCGTATGGTCAAAGATTCCGTCGTTAAAGGCCGCTAACTAAGAATGGGAGTCTTTTCTAGTAGAAATCCCGAAGTCAGGGTCGTTGTCCCTAAACCCTAAACCCTACCTGAACCTGGAAGAACCTACATTTGTAAGGATTTTTATAAAGAAATCATAATAAGGAACCTTAAAAAGGTAGGTTGTTCAGGGTTAAGGTAAGCCCTTCTCCTCGAGTTAAGAAAAAGCCTTCGACCTCAGCCGAGGCCCTGGCTCGCCCCAAAGCTTCAGCCCAAATTTCAACACCTGGACTTTCCAAAAAAATGGCGAGAACTTCGCTAAGACCCAGAGTAGGCCCCTACTCCTGTTTTGGTGTTTCGGGTCTCTTGTAACCCCCTTTCACCCAAAAAGGCCACCCCTTTTTATTCCTAGGTCTAGGTAGATTCGCATCCATGTAAGCTTGAGCTTATCAGGGAGGGACGAGGACTCAGTGTCACCTGTAGCGTTGATCTTCTGTATTGGGATTGAAGTCTTAGTAGTACTGTTTTTTTCAACCTGGTTCTGTATACTGCTCAGGTTTCATGAAGCGAGGGCCTTACATGAGTGGTTGTCAAAATTAAGGTCCCTTCTTGCGTACCCTAAATAGTAGGTGCTGTATCATGAAGGGACCCCAAAAGGGACCATAATTTTGACAACCACCCACATGGCTATTGTCGGGACTGTTGGACTTGAAGCAGCCTTGTAGCCACAGGCACTCTTTCTCCAGCGGCTTAGCACGGATGCCGAGCCGCCCAAAGAAGAAAATGCTGCTCAGGACTTCCCGCCATTAATCCAGAGTTGTTGGTAAGGTCGGGTTTATTGGGTTTTGCTCGAAACAGAAGCGGGGCTGTGCAGAAGTGATACTGTCAAGTGTACGACACCCAACAGAAAAGGCGGGGGCTCATTGTCGTTCCGGTGTCTGCAGAGGCTAGTTTCCAGTTCCTAGATGACGCTTCATTGACTTAGCTGGCAGAGAACGCACAGCTGATCACTCACTTTTCTGGAGGGGGACTATCATCACCGCGCATATGTAGATACATCCGTACTGGGCAAGTGGCGAAAGTGGCACTGCCACTGCTCAGGAAGTCAGGCAAGATCTCATGTGTTTGTCAGCTACACACTTAGGGTTTAGGGTTCAGGGACCTCTATCAGCCAAGAAACCCGGATAAGGCAGGGATCCCTAAACCTTAAACCCTGACAGGGTCCATGAGCCCTCGAAACTCTTCACAACTGTATGAAATGGCATAATCCCTGTAATGCAGCTGCAACAACCAGTCTACGAAACTTTAATGCCCATGTACTCACAACTTCTAAACTGTGGCTGTAATGCAGTCTCCTTTTCGGACATGGCTACATGGAATGTTGGGGAACACATGAGACTGCATGGCAACACATGTCACACTCATGAAGCCAGAAAGATTTTCGAAGCAGTCAGAGCACTATTTCCAAGGGCTCCTTGTTGAAATTCTAGCATAGTATACCTCCCGTGAAGCCCTAAGCCCTAAAGCCCTGAACCCTGAAGTCAAACCCTAAGCCTAGTTCCTAAAGCAATGTTTGTTTTAACATCATGTGATATTGTTTCTACTACTGTTCTGAGAATTGTTACTCTGATTCTTGTTCTTACCGGTACCATTGTTGACTATGATTGCTATTATGATTATTAGTAGTAGTAGCAGTAGCCGTAGTAGTAGTCGTCGTCGTGGCGGTGGTGCTGCTGCTGCTACTGCTGGTGCTGGTAGTAGCCATAATTTTAGTGCTACTAAGCAGGCTTTCAACGTCCATCAGACTTTTGGAGTTAAGAGTCTGTATCGGAGTTTCCGAAAACAGGGGATCCTAATATAGTACCCTAAACAGTAGGATCCTTATTGTAAGGACCCCCAAAATAAGGTACCCCCAAAAATTCGGAAACTCCCTTTTGGAGTGAAGGGTCTATATCTCCAAGCCCCTACACCATCCCTGTGCCCCGAAAACTCAACATGTCCCTGCACTTTAATCTGGGGCTTGGTTCTACAGGGTTTAGGGAGGTTTGAGGGGCTTTGGGGGTTTCGGGGGGTTTATTCAAGACTTTAACCTGTCAAGAATCAAAAGAAGCTCAACATGTCCGTAAAGCAGTACATCTAAACATTTTCTGGCTGCGGATCCTCGCTCGGATTGTCTGCTGACTGCTTGAATAAAACCCCCTAAGCCCCTAAAGCCCCTCAAAACTCCCTAAACCCGGTAGAACCGGTTGATGATAGAAATCCTGCATTACCCATAATAAGGAATATACCATAATTCCCGTAGTTTAGGGCCCTTAAGGTATTGCAGGAGTTATATCATCAACCGAACCAACCCCTCAACCCAAACCCCGACGACTCCCTGAGACTCGAAAGCCCAAGTAAAGCAGCTCAGGAACCCGACACGTCGATGCCGGAAAAAGCAGCCGACCCACGAGGTTTTTCGGATGGTTTTGGGTGTTGGGTTCAGGGTTTAGTGTTTAGGGGGTTCAGGGTTTCGGGGTTTAAGGGTTTAGGAATTTTTGGAGCTTGGGGCTTTGAGGGTTGAGGGTTTTGGGTTTCATTTTGAATTTGCAGCGGCATTGGTTTCGGTGTTTCAAGATTTAGGATTTGGGGTTTGAGCAACATGATGGGTGTCGTCTTGACTCTTTAGTTAGGATTTCGTGGTTAGGGGCGCGTTGCCGTTCTTTTGATTCTGTAGGGTTTAGGGTTTAGGGACATGTTGGGTCTCTTTTTCTATTATGGGATGGTGTGGTTTGTCGGGCCTTGCGACGTTTTGTACGGTCTTTATGGTCTGACTAGGCACCCTTCTTGTGCGGGGGCCTTCCTAACAAGGATCCTAAACCCAAAACCCTACTGCTCGGGGTTTACATTGGGGGTGTCCCTGCAATTCTGAAGCTCCCACTTGCACCGAAAGAGTTGAACCAGGAACCTACTACTTGGAGGGTCGGGGGACTTAGTAAGTAGGTAGTAAGTAGACTTATAAGTACCCCAAAAGGGGGCCCTAATTGGGGCTATGGTACTTATAAGTCCTTAAAATAACCAGTTACTAAGTCCCCCGACCCTCCAAGTACGGAGGGCGCTAAGGCCCAACCGATTCAGTGATATCATCGTCGTTTTCATACGGGAGTTTCCGAAAACTAGGGGTACCTTATTTTGCGGTTCATCTAGTCAGGATCCTGCTGTTTAGGGTACCATGTTAGGGTCCCCTATTCTCGGAAACTCTCATACCTGGGATACTGTCTTTATCTCCTTCGTTCTCATTGGTTTTATTACACATGGCACGAGCAACTTCATAAACAAGTTTTAGCTGACTCTTAATTACCGCAGTGATAAGCTTAGCGTTGCACCTTGCCAAAGGTCACTCGATCTTCCACTATCCAAAAAACCCTAAACCCCAAACCCTAAACCCCCAAAACCCTAAACCCCAGACCCTAGACCCTAAACCCGAAACCCTGTGGCCAAAAGTTTCGGCCCAACTGGGCTGTGACGGCTAGAGGCCAGTGCAGTCGCAAAAAGGCCCTCAAAAAGAAAAAAAAGAAGAACGAAACCCTACTTGGAAGGGCAGGGGACTTAGTAAGTAAGTTATAAGTAGGGTTATAATTGGGGGTAACTCCATTTAGGGTACTTATAACTCTACTTATAACCTACTTACTAGGTCCCCTGCCCTTCCAAGTAAACCCTAAACCCTGTGGGTAAGCCTTCTTGGACCCCCTGGTCAGCCCAAACGCCCTGAACCCCAGATGTCTGTAACTTGGACCATGGTTCTGGGACCCTGGACTGATTTTTTTGGGTTTAGGGTTTAGGGTTTGGGGTTCAGGGTTGAGTTTAGGGTTTGGGGTTCAGGGTTTAGGGGTATGGGGTTCAGGGTATAAAGGGTTTAGGGTTTAGGGTTTAATCTACTTTCTGCAACAATCTAAACTCTGTAACACGATTGTAGGAGACCCATTAGAGACTTTTGATTTGCACACTAAACCCCATACAAGGCTTCTAAACACTCCGACGCCCGAAATATTGCTGCAAGCCATGTTTCTGTTTAGCAAGTAGAACACTGGACTGAACCTTCAGCTCTTTGACTAAACCTTCTCCTATTTCCCAAAGTCTCCATGTACCCATATAGTAGGTACTTAGGCCTTAAAGTACCTATATAGGGACCCCTTTAAGGCCTAAGTTCCTCCTATATGGGTACATGGAGTCTTAGGGTTTGTTTAACACCCTCATGCAGGCAGGGCTTCCGCTGCTTGTTGCGCAGCCCTCTCAGCACATATTTGTGCATATGTGTGTTTGTGTTGTGCAAGGGAGTACACCGACCAAGTACTTGAGCACACCAGGCGAATCGCATTGACAGCCAATCTCGCCCCGCGGGCACGCTCCCTGCGTGATCTTTTCATCTCCGTTGACGTTGCAGGGCATGTCTGCATACCCACAAAGTGGGTACTGACTGACAAGAACGAGCATTTGAAAGGCACGTCTGAGTATACGCCCAATGGAAAGCTCGTTTGGTGGCTTGCGGCAACTTCGAACATATCGGCAACGAGGAAGATCGACAGCCCAACCGCAGAGCCGGAAGGCATCGCGATCATATGTTCGTGGGCAGCTTCACCCGGCTTGCGGCTCAAATCAGCTGACATTACGAACTCGTTTGGACAGGGTTTAGGCCCTTAGGCTTTAGGGTCCAGGATTTGAGCTTACGGTTCCGGCCCCTAAGAGTTTCCTCACGGGTTCTATAAGGACTTTTGGGTTTGATGCAATCAGGCCCGCCATCGGGTGCGTGGGCAGAAGCTCAGGCACGAAGCTGAGGAATGGTCAAATGAGGTTCATATCGGGTTGTTCAGT